AGCATTTCAAAGAACCCTATATATATTCAATTTATGTTGAAATCAAACACAGTTTAATTTTGGACCCCAATTTGGACCAACTTGAAAAGTGGGCCCAAAATCAGAAATCTAAATATATGTTTATTAATAGACAATATAAGCTTAGTTTTTAAAGGAGTTTACTTCATAAAAAAAAATATATAGCATTCAGAAAATTAGTTTTTACAGAATAACAAACAAACTTGCCACAAAATTCTACAAACAATTTACCAAAGAAAAGAAGAAAAAAATCCAAATTTTTTTTTATCATTAATACAATGTCATTTCAAAATCTAGAAAACTTATCAGTAACAAGAAATAATTGTAACAGAATGCTGTTACGTTAAAGTCTCCCAAACAAAGCTCCAATAATTTGTCATTCCCATTGTCGCTTGTCATTGGCAATGTCCGGTACAAATTGGTTTATGATATGCATTAGTGACGCCTATGGATATACCCTGTATGTCATTCAAATCTTCTTGAAATTACGAACAGGAATTTATATGGTTAAGGGGTGGAGATCTCGACCGTTTATAAGTTCTCAAAAGGGGGGGGGGGGGGGTGATCCCCAGGGGACTCTCCCTTTATTTCATATGATTTGTTTTTTTGTCCCGTACAAGAATATATATGGTTTAGGGGTGGGGATCTCGACCGTTTACAAGTTCTTAAACAGGAGGGGGGTGGGGTGACCCCAGGGGACTCACCTTATATTTCATTTGATTTGTGTTATGGTCCCATACAAGAATATATATGGTTTTGGCTAGGGGATCTTGACCGTTTACAAGTTTTCAAAAACAAGGGGGGTGGGGGTTACCCCAGGGGATTTCCCCTTAATTTCATTTGATTTTTTTTATTGTCCCATTCAAGAATATATATGGTTTAGGGGTGGGGATCTCGACTGTTTACAAGTTATCAAAAAGAAGAGGGGGTGGGGTGACCCCAGGGGACTCGCCTTGTATTTCATTTGATTTGTTTTATTGTCCCATACAAGAATATATATGGTTTCGGGGTGGAGATTTTGACTGTTTACAAGTTTTTCAAAAAAAGGGGGGTGGGGGTGAACCCAGGGGACTCCCCCTCAATTTCATTTGATTTTTTTTATTGTCCCATTCAAGAATACATATGGTTTAGGGGTGGGATCTCGCCTGTTTACAAGTTATCAATAAAATGCTCCGCAGGGCGCAGCTTGATACGACCGCAGAGGTCGAACCCTGAACAGTTGGGGCAAGTATGGACACAATATTCAAGCTTGATACAGCTCTGAATTTGGATTGTGATTAAATATTTGACACAGCATAGGTTTCTGACACAGAATGAATGTGGTCTAAGAACTTAAAAATTTTAAATTGGACATTCACCTATTATGGTCCAATATCCAAAATCTAAATACATGGTTAGATTCAGCATATCAAAGAACCCCAAGAATTCAATTTTTTATGAAATCAAACAAAGTTTAATTTTGGACCCTTATGACCTCAATGTGGACAAAGTTGATAACGGGGACCAAAAATCAAAAATCTAAATGCATGGTTAGATTCAGCATATCAAAGAACCCCATATATTCAATTTTTGTTGAAATCAAACAAAGTTTAATTTTGGACCCCGATTTGGACCAACTTGAAAACTGGGCCCATAATCAAAAATCTAAATACATGTTTAGATTCAGCATATCAAAGAACCCTAAAAATTAAATTTTTGTTAAAATCAAACTAAGTTTAATTTTGGACCCTTTGGACCTTAATGTAGACCAATTTGAAAACGGAACCAAAAATTAAGAATCTAAATACACGGTTAGATTCGGCATATCAAAGAACCCCAATAATTAAATTTTTGATGAAATCAAACAAAGTTAAATTTTGGACCCTTTGGACCTCATTGTGGACCAATTTAAAAACGGGGCCCAAAATCCAAAAACTTGATACACGATTAGATTCAGCATATTAAAGAACCCCAAGAATTCAAGAATAAAACCCCATTGAAATTGATCAAGAAATAAGCAATTTATACGAAGTATCTTCTTTTGCACAATACTGTGGAATTGAATATTTCTTGCTATTGCGCAATACTGTACAATTGACAATTTCTTGCTATTGCGCAATATTGTGCTATTGGATATTTCTTGCTATTGCGCAATACTGTGCAATTGAAGATTTCTTGTTATTGCGCAATACTGTGCAATTGAAGATTTCTTGCTATTGTGCAATACTGTGCAATTGAAAATTTCTTGCTATTGCACAATACTTATTATATAATAATTTACACATCCTGTTTGGTGTGTATCTCCTACCATATCATTATTATTTGCTTTTAAATATTAATCAGAAATAACCAACTTAAAATGGAAAATTTTAAAAGAAAAAAAAAAAGGAAAAAAAGAAAAAAAAAGAAAAAAAAAAAATCCCCCCCCAAATTTTTTGAACCCCCTTATGATTCATCACCCCCAAACTCAATCCCAGCCTTCCCTTTGTGGTATGGTACCTTGCAGTACAATTTCAGAGAGATCCATACACTTGAACACAAGTTATTGTCTGGAAACTAGAAAAATGCTTATTTTTGGCCCCTTTTTGGCCCCTTATTCCTAAACGTTTCGGGCAATTACCCCCAAACTCAATTCCAGCTTTCCCTTTGTGATATGGAACCTTGTAGTACAATTTCAGAAATATCCAAACACTTACACACAAGTTATTGTCATGAAACTAGAAAAATGCTTGTTTTTTGGCCCCTAATTCCTAAAATTTTGAGGCAATTACCCCCAAAATCAATTACAGCCTTCCCTTTGTGATAAGGAACCTTGTGGTACAATGTCAGAGAGATCCAACTTTTGGATATTAAAAATGGTGATAACTCAAAATGGAGATATACTAATATCTTGAAAATTGAACTAGACCTTCATTAAGTCCCAGGAAACAACATATTTAAATTTGAAAAAAAAATTTGTTAAAGCGTTTTCATGTTATTTTGCTGACAAGCTGTTTGGCAGCCGCCCGATCCGCCCAGCCGCCCCCCGTGGGTCACCCTTTTAATAACCGATATTTCCTTCGAAAATCCGGTTAAAAATGGCTACTTCTGGTTTACTCAAGGGCACTTCTGGTTGATATTGTTCAAGGTCATATGTCAACCAACAGTTTGCAAAAACCCTATGGCTTTATCATGTACCAAGCTGGAGTAATAATCAATTAACCTTAAATTGCATCATTTCAGGGACAATACTTCCTATAAGATGTCATTGGATTGTTTCAGATCAAATATATCATATCTTAATCACAATTAGGCAAACATTTTGCACTAGTTCTTTTATATATATCTTTAAAAGCATTGAAAAGTGACAGAGGAGACCAAATAACAAGGAAAAGTCAAAATTTAGAATATGACCTTGACCTTTGACCTTGGCCTCAATTTCATTTAAATGAACCAAGGACCTCAAATCAATATACCTTAGGTCTCTATCACTTACCATTCATGTATATATATCCCTTATGTCAAATACAGAAGAGGAAATAACTGTCATATGGAGTTTTCGTATCGCTTCGGTCAAAATTGGACAAAACATCCTGAGTATATAACGAGCAATATGGTAAAATAACTTTGTCGCTTTCTCTTGTTCGGGAGATAACTCCTACAAAGAAAAGTATTTGGTTAAGCAGGGTCAATTTCAAAAGCGCAATAACTGTTCGATATCATATGCAAAAAATCTAAGCGACATCTTGTAAAACCACAATACCCCGTAAGAAAAAAAAGTGGCGGAAGAAAAAAGAAAAAAAAAATTAAAAACCAATTGTTCAGAGAACAATTGAAGGTCTTTCCACCTTATTTCTAAATTTATTGAAAAGAAGCTAGTTCGTGTTTACTCAAAGTTAAAATTGGCATCTTATCATCAGTTTCTTCATACTGATGCGATAAATAAGTGGTTTCTATATACTTCTGAATGAAATAAGGGAGATAATTAGCTACTTCCGGTGAAATAAATGTCACTTCCGGTCTCATATAATAGTTTCTTTCACACTGATTCCAAAAATATATAGTTTCTATATACTTTTGCTTGTAAACCAGGAGATAATTGGCCACTTCCGGTTTATCGAAAGTCATTTCTAGTCTTCAGTGATAAGTTAATGTATTAAAATTACAAAATATATGGATTCCGAGTACTTTTCCATGAAGAAAGTGCAAAAATGGCTACTTCCGGTTTTCTCAAGGTCACTTCCGGTTGTCATTTCTCAAGGTCATATGTCATCCAACCTTTTGTAAAAGGTCATATGGCTTTATAATGAACCAAGTTGAAGTAATAATCAATTAACCTTATAATTGGACATTTCAGGGGCACTTAATCCTATAAGATGCCATTAGATTGTTTCAGACCAAATGTAACATATCTTCATTACAATAAAGCAAACATTTTGCACTTGTTGTTTCATATATATCTTTAAAAGTGTTTGAGAAACTGCAAAAACAAGGAAAAGTCAAAATTGAGAACTTGACCTTGACCTTTGACCTCATTTTCTAAGTTAGGACCTAGGGACCTCAAATAAAAAGATTCCAGGATTATACGGTTAACGGTTAATGAGTTAAAAAAAACATACCGACAAATTTATTTGGTAAAGGTAGATAACAGAAAAGTGGAAAGACCTAATAATCAGAACAAATACAATAGGTCTTTCCACAGAAAAGTGGAAAGACCTAATAAAATTTCTATACAAACCGTTAGACTGATTTTTCATAATAACATTGAAGAGGAATTAAAGTCTTGTAGGATTCTAAGTATGCTTTATTTTATCACCTTGCACTTTCACGACTTGACTGTGGTTTTCTACAGCAGTTTGTTCAAATTTCTGACCAGTTGAACAGTTTGGTTTTATAAAACAAATTGCAATTTGGTCAGTATTTTGAACAAGTTGCAATAGGTAGAGAGCAACACTAACAGTCAAGTCACAGTAAGAATGTACATGATGTATGACTATGTAGCAAATTTTTTTTTATATCCTAACCTGTAGATGCTGGATCTTTTATACCAGTTAATTTGTTGGTAAAACCTAAGTCTTCAGTTTGTGGTTCTCCTCCTGGAACTCCTTTGGAAAATACTTAAAGAATATAAAAATATATCTGAATAATCAGAGATGTGGAGTTTACATCAATGAATTAGCAACCCAACAACAAAAACAAGCATTCTGAGAGTATTGCATGGCAATACATAGTCCCCTACCAGTTAAAAATTCATTATACTCGAACAAAATGCTAACTTGTTCTATAACTTGTCATGGTGTAAACTATATAAAAAATATCAAGTCAATATCTTTAAGCATGACGAAAAGTGTGGAAAACTGATTATTTGAGTGAATTTTTCAAGTCCAAGGATCATAACTCTGGACAAAATCATCAGACCAGAACAAAATTCACACTTGATCTGTAACTTGTCATGATAAAACTGTATACCAATTATCAAATCATTATCTTCAAGCATGACGAAAAAAAGTGTGGAAAACTGATTATTTGAGTTAATTTCTAAGTCAAAGGACCATAACTCTGGACAAAATCATCAGACCGGAACAAAATTCCAACTTGATCTGTAACTTGTCGTGATAAAACTATATACCAAATATCAAATCAATATCTTTAAGCATGAAGAAAAAAGTGTGGAAAACTGATTTGCCGGACTGACGGATGGACAGACAGACAGACAGACAGACAGACAGACAGACAGACAGAGTGCAAACCTAAAGTCCCTTTCGACTTCGTCGGTTGGGGACTAATAACCAAAAGATATCTTGAGGCCAACATTTTCAACAATAGACAGGACATGCAGTGTCAGTAATGGTGTCTATAAAATATTTCCAAAAAAAAAATGTATTACTACAGTTGGACAAAAAGAGGGTGACCTGACAAGGCAGTTTTGCTTAATACAGGTGACCTTTTTAGCAGGTTTGACTGTGCAACTGCATAATCTAATATACTGTTAACACAGAGATATGTCTCTCCTGTCCCCAGAAAATTCAGAAAAAGACGATCTGATGTACAGCAACATTGCTAATTAATTCAAAGTTGCTGGACCATGACCGAGAACAGCGCGTCAAAATGCTTCAAACTGAGATGTACTGATAGTAATGAAACTTTATAGAAATATCATTGCCTTACTAGTATCATTAGTAGTTTCTATCATGTCTATCAAACTAAATTATATATATAACTTCAGCAGAAAACTTAACATTGAAAATTGGTAATTTATCAAAATTCACTGGACCATGAAATAGTCTTCAAACTGATATGTACTGATAGTAAAGCAATTTTAAAGAAAATATAATTGATTTATCGAAAGCAGTTCCTATCAAACTGATTTAAGTAGAAAACTTAACATTGAAAATTGGTAATCAATTCAAAATCATTGATTTATTACAAGTAGTTACTGTCAAACTAACTGAAGAGAAAACTTAACATTGAAAATTGCTTATTAATTGTAAGTGGCTGGACCATGACCTTGGTATGTACTGATAGTAAAAATGCAACTTTACAAAAATTGTCATTGATATATCACAAATAGTTCCTATTAAACTGACTTAAGCAGAAAACTTAACAATTGTTGACGTCGCCACCTGGAAAGCAACACCTACATGACCTATGTCTAGCTTTACACCACTTTCATTGCAGGCGAGACATAAACTAAAAATATTCAATCCAAATGGTCAATTTCAATAAAAGTTGCATTATGTTAGTCAAAATAACAAACAAAACTGTTGGAAAAATAACGATAAAAATTCTGTGAGATGAGTTTACTCACAATTGGACTTTTCTGCATTATCTGACTGGGATCCAGGAACTTTATCTATTAAAATGCCTGTTGGAGACTCAATCGTTGTCTCTTCTCCTTTATCATTTTCAGTTTCTGCTCTAATTAATAGTCCATCTTTATTTGAAATTTCAACAGGGTTTTCTGGTTCATGCTGTTTTTGATCTTGTTTTTCCATGTTATCATTTGCTTTTAACATGTTTAATCCATTCATATCAGATACACTTGTGCTTTTACCCTGTAACACAGAATCAGTTCTTGATGAGGTTTCTGGATTAACAAATGGTGTCTTACCATTTGTAACTTCTGCATCCTCTTCGCTACCTATCTTTTTATCTAGTTTATCCCCTACATTATGTGTCTCCTTTTCTTGTTTTGTTTGTTGATCACTGGGTCTATAAGCTTCTCCTCTCATCTGGCTTTTACTTTCTTTTGATATTTTCCCTTGGCAATTTCCCATGCCTTTTGTTAACAGTTTACTAGAATTCTGAAAATAATCATGATAAAGAAAAATAAAATGCTCCGCTGGGGCGCAGCTTGATACGACCGCAGAGGTCAACCCTGAACAGTTGGGGCAAGTATGGACACAACAATCAAGCTTGATACAGCACTGAATTTGGATTGTAATTAAATATTTGACACAGCATAGGTTTCTGACACAGAATGAAAGTGGTCTAAGAACTTAAAAATTTTTAATTTACCTATTCAAACCATATCATTATTATTTGCTTTTATATATAAATCAGAAATAACCAATTTAAAATGGAAAATTTTAAGGAAAAAAAAATCCCCCCCCAAATTTTTTGAACCCCCTTATGATTCATCACACCAAACTCAATCCCAGCCTTCTCTTTGTGGTATGGTACCTTGCAGTACAATTTCAGAGAGATCCATACACTTGAACACAAGTTATTGTCTGGAAACTAGAAAAATGCTTGTTTTTTGGCCCCTTTTAGGCCCCAAATTCCTAAACGTTTAGGGCAATTACCCATAAACTCAAACCCAGCTTTCCCTTTGTGATATGGAACCTTGCAGTACAATTTCATAAAGATCCATACACTTACACACAAGTTATTGTCCTGAAACTAGAAAAATGCTTGTTTTTTTGCCCTTTTATGGCCCCTAATTCAAGTTTTGAGGCAATTACCCCTAAAATCAATCCCAGCCTTCCCTTTGTGGTATGGTACCTTGCAGTACAATTTCAGAGAGATCCATACACTTGAACACAAGTTATTGTCTGGAAACTAGAAAAATGCTTATTTTTGGCCCCTTTTTCCTAAACTTTTTGGGCAATTACCCCCAAACTCAATTCCAGCTTTCCCTTTGTGATATGGAACCTTGTGATACAATGTCAGAGAGATCCATACACTTAAACACAAGTTATTGTCATGAAACTAGAAAAATGCTTGTTTTTTGCCCCTTTTTGACCCCGAATTCCTAAAATTTGGAGGCAATTACCCCCAAAATCAATCCCAGCATTCCCTTTGTGATATGGAACCTTGTGATACAATGTCAGAGAGATCCATACACTTACACACAAGTTATTGTCATGAAACTAGAAAAATGCTTGTTTTTTGCCCCTTTTTGACCCCGAATTCCTAAATTTTGGAGGCAATTACCCCCAAAATAAATCCCAGCATTCCCTTTGTGATATGGAACCTTGTCGTACAATGTCAGAGAGATCCATACACTTACACACAAGTTATGTCTGGAAGTTACAAAAATGCTTATTTTTGGCCCCTTTTTGGCCCCTTATTCCTTAACTGTTGGTACCATAACCCCCAAAATCAATCCCCACCTTTCTTTTGTGGTATTGAACCTTATGGTAAAATTTCATAGAGATCCATTCACTTAAACTAAAGTTAGAGTGCGAAAACTAATGTGTCTTCGGACGACTACGATGACGCCGGACGACGACGATGACGACGACGACGCCATACCAATATACGACCACAAAATTTTTTTTGCGGTCGTATAAAAATGGACATTTCCTTATATAAATACGTTAAAAGATTTATGTACTTATTCATAATTTGCCTTTTTAGAATAAAAATTCATATATCATATATTCTGGGTATAATTTTGTAAAGCCCCCATCAAAATATTATGCAGGATTTGACACTAACTAACATGACTAAATTCCTTTACTAGCCCATATGGCTAGTTAAATTTTCATTCTTCTAGCCCTCCAAGTGCCGAAGGCACGAACCTTTCTAGGAAATAAATGAAGCTAAATCCAGTGTTCTGGAGCATTTCCAGAGCGCTTTGAGCATGTTTAGCACAATTAATGTTTCATTTTCCATGTTTTCACTGGTTTGCTAACAAAAAATTAAAAAAAAACTTTTCATTTTTAATATCAAATCATCTCTATTAAGTATCTGTATAATCTGGTCACAATTCTTAATGGACTCCTTCTTTGGCTCAGTTGTTTGTTTGGGTGTTTTGCAGGAGGAGGTTTGATTAATAAGCATATGTACATGTTTACATATTATTTATAACCATATATATATAGTCTTAACAATGATCTGCCCACAGGGTACACATGTAAAATGTTATTTCAAATATGACACATGTACAAATGAGCATGATGATTTGGTCATGTTGGTCTGGGACTGTTTTAAATCAAAATAACATACCTAATAAATCACAATTCCCAGTCAACTTTGAAAAAAAGATCTATATATATAAATCCGTGGGAAAATAACTATCGTTTCACTTTCGGTTTCTCTTTTCATTGTAACGTGTATATTTTACTTAGCTGTCGTAAACACGGTAAAGTGTTGAATTTACAACTTTGACATATATGATGATAACTTTCCGTATACAATTAGCATAACATATCCCACTTAAAATTTTATGTTACTTTTACCGTACAAATAAGAAAATTTTCATATCTAAATTCTAATTTGCATTTAGAACTGACATTGTGTTGAATTACAATAAGTTAACACATTTTGGCGGGAGTTTGGCCAGCTCTGAGTGTAATTACAAAGGGATCTGTAGTTTCATATTGCATTTCTTAGTAACTGAAAGTTTTTATGTGTTTCAAAAAAAGATAAAAAGATAGATTTATTTGATCAAATGTCAACATAAAAATGTTATAAAGTAAAATAACAAAAACGATACGGCCGAACTCCAAGGAAAATTCAAAACGGAAAGTCCCTTATCAAATGGCAAAATTAAAAGCTCAAACACATTAAACGAATGGAAAACAACTGTTATATTCCTGACTTGGTACAGGCATTTCCTTATGTAGAAAGTGGTTGGTTAAACCTGGTTTTATAGCTAGCTAAACCTCTC